AAAAACAAAAAACCAAAAAAAAAAAAAAAACAAAACAAAAAAAACCAAAACAAAACAAAACAAAAAAACAAAAACAAACCAACAGGGCAGGAACCTAAATTCTGAGACCAAATGTAAAAGTCAGATTTGGTGGTTCTCAGTGACAATGGGGAATCTCCAAGGGGTGGGACGGGGAGGAGTGGGATGGTCAGAGATGGTTTCTCTTGTTGGCTTTTATGTCTCACTGATTTTCATCTTCCACATCCTGCAGCGCTTCTTTATTCTGCTCTTCACCTGCAAGAAGACAAAATTATTTCATATTGACTAACACTCAGGCTATAGTAGTCATAAACATGTCATTCCAAGCATAAGGACTCCTTATATTTGCTACCATTGTTATAACACACAGACAGGCAAAGGACTTCTATTATCCTTCACACCCAAGATGCCCAAACCAAGAAGGGCTGTTGATCATGGTCCTGAAACTGTTAATAGTCAAAATGAAGGAGGTAAGGGCCACAGAGAACCTGATGCACAAAATCAATGTTTAAATGCTTTAAAAAGCTCTTGAAGTGTACAGCCAAGGTAATTGTATTCTTCAAATCGACTTTCAAGCTTTCATGTATATCTTGGATCAAAATACTCTTTCTCAATAACCTCACCTCTTCAAAAATCAGAGAGTATTTTGCTCAGTATCAGAAATGCTTCAAAAAAAGTGAATTCAGCAGTAAAATGCTCCAAAGGCATTCTATCTATAGTATTTTTGTGGTGGTGATGGTGGGTAATCTGAAGTTGTAAATGAACATTCAATATTTTGTATCTTGGTCAGATACATCAAACTACAACCAGATTCCTCACTTCACAGTGAAACTGCATGCTCGAAGCAAAACAGACTGCTGAGGTTATTACAGAAGGGCATTTGGACCAGTTCTCTCATGCTGTTCCCCTTTTCTCTGTGAACACAACAATTACCCTAGGGAGTTTCAGCTGCACTATGACATGCAACAGAAAGCCAGTCTGTTCACTAGAGGGTCATTTACCTAAAGCATTAAACAAGTCAGCCATAATAAAGCATGCAGAGGCTTTTGATAAAATAAACAGGTAAAAAATTATATTCTTTTGTACTTTAAACAAATCACACAGAAGTCTAACACAGTTAATAGTCTGAATAGACACAAATCAAGAACCAATCAATGGAAGGTATAGTATACAGCTCAGTAGTAGACTGTGTGCTTAACATTCACAAGGTCCTGGTTTCAATCCCCAGTATGACGTAAAAATGTTAAGACACACTCTAAACTTTTCTTGTGGGCTGTGTGTGCTGGGAATCAAACTCAGGACCCTCACACTTGCCAGGCAGGCACTGTGCCACTGAGCTAAATCCCCAGTCCACTATCTAAACTATTGAAAAAATTTTTAGCGGCTGAGATGACATCCACCCACTCATAATCCTTGATATATTATTTAATCAGGTTGGACAAATAACACTAAGACTGGTTGCCTACAAATAGGAAGCATTTTCACTCAAAATAACTTTTAAACTTTCAATATGAAAATAGATGTTATCATAGCATTAAGAATTAAGTAAAGACAGATAAGTAACTATGAAAAGTTACTTCAAGCATATAAAAGATTTTTGACTTTTAATATACAAAAGAACGTGCAAAGACAAAAATAACCATTCATCAAGGAAAGAAGTGAGAGATAGCCAATTGTTCCCCAAAGAACAATCATGTATTCAAACTTGGGAAACAAGAAAAGAGTGACATTCATTCGCATTTTTTAACAGGAATACGCTGCCAAACTACAGTTAACATACAACACTAGAACCCGCTCTAACTCATCCATTAGCAATCACTGCTTTGCCAAAAGTTTCAAGTAACTTTGGCATAAAAGTCACGTAAATCACATCCAACCAGACATAGGCAGGGGTAGCAGGCCATAATAGAGGTCATAGAAGGTTTAGCACCTTGGAATGTAGAACAGCCAGGTTTATAAGCAACAGGATGGTAATAATGCAGGCATGATTAGTGAAGAACCAAAACTAAAAGCAAAATTCACTGTGCCATGATAATGACTTACAAAGTAGAGTTTTTAGGAAAGGAAGAGTTGGATTTTCCTTTAGGAATCTATATTGCAAGGAGAAAGGGAGGGAGAACAATCATATGAAAGCAACATTACAAGAAAAGTAAACCAAGAGAGCAGGACAAAGGAAAACAATGATACGGCCATCAGATTTTGTTTTATACTTTGTATAAAATTCAGTCTAAGAAATAATCTGCCCAATCCTTCCTTTTACTACCAATAAAATGTGATAATACCCTCTTCAAGGTATACAGAAAGAGAAAAAGCACTTCCTGATAGGCATTTCTTTGTTTCTATCCCACCTCCCTTCCCGCGGGAAAGAGACTGGCAGACAGAATACACATTTCCTTTCTATGGATACGAAACAGTTCTTGTATGGTTAGAGAAAAGGACAGAAATCACTCAATGAGGGAAAAAGCAGTGATCCTTTTAAATGACCATGTTTCAATGCACTTTGACAAACATTAATATTTTTTGCAATACTAAGACAAGTTTTTAAAAATGTATTTCTTTAGAAATCTTCAATTTAAAATGTTTTATACTTTTCAGCCAATAATAAAAACCATCTAAATGATCCATAAGCAGAATGTAAGTGACGTTCTAAAAAACTACAAATTCAGTAATAATTTTTCCATTACTTAGCATGGAATCTGTCACAAAACCAATTTAATAGAGCATGAAGTACTAAGAATTTTTAGCAAAACTGGTAAATAACTTCCTAGTTCTCAATTTAACAGTAAACAAGTTTTTTCCCTGTTAAACTACCACACTAATGCTCATTCCTGTAGTCCCAGCACTCAGGATGAGGCAAGAGCACAAGTTCGAGCCCAGCATGGGTTACACAATAAATTCAAGGCCAGCCTGAGCTACACAAGGAGACCCAATCTCAATAAACAAAAAAAATCTACCAAGCTACTTCACTGCAAGTATTTTAAAACTAAAGCTATCTAATTTAATAAATTTTAAAGGGAATCAATGTTTTAATCAAATTTAATCAATTTTATAGTCTGAGATGAAGTAACTAGATAACTTTAGATTAAAAAAAACTATTCCAGGATTAAAGATAAACCCTATGCTAAACTGTAACAACTTTGTACAAAGAATCATCCTAACTATGTAAATATAAGTAAAGATAGTATCCCATTTTAAAACAATCCATTTATCTTAAAACTATACTTGATAAAGAATAAGACTATTGAGTTCTGTTTGAATAGGAAACATTCTACTTTAACTGATCAACTCATGGTTATCAGTGATAATGACCTAGAGCAGAATTAGAAAATATAAAAGTATCATAAATTCGCTATTTAAGTTATCTAATGTCTTTAAAAAGGTATTATACACCCCAGGTCACCTTTTTGCACCCTTAAATACTACTGTACATGTCTCCAGAGGTGGGAGGGATATAGTTCACTTAGGACAAAGCAGTACTGTTTAACAAGCCTCTCTACATGTTTTCCTTTTATTTCTTCAAAAATACAGAGAGATGTAGTACTAGTCTCCTCTGAGCTGTAGGGTGACCATGTATAGTCTGCAGCAGTATCTGACCATTCTTGATAGTTATTGTTAAAATACAGTAGGATTTTAAGCTAGAAGGAATTAAGCTCAGAGACAGTAAATTGGCTCTGTGCTGCTCGAAAAAGTACTCTGTGACTCCATCTGACTGTTGGCAAAGTGTGAGAGAGCAGGTCACATGTCACATTTCTTGTGCCAATCCTGACAGACTTCATGAAGATTTACAAATTGAACCACCTAATTCTCATGTTACCTCCACAATCTAAAATTAGTAAGAATTCTAACTTTTCCGAGGAAAGAATTCTAGTCTTTTCTGAGGAAAGAACATGACAACAAACACATTCAGTCACCTTTTACCAACAGAGGATGTGGTGAATTCCAAGCAATGTCACATATACTGTGATCTGGGTAACACTCTTAAAGGAACTGCAACTAAAACTATCAAAATTCCCCCTTCCAAACTCTACTACTGCCACAACACCAACTAAAAAACAGTTTTATAATGATCAAAACACACTGTGACCTATCCCAAGTAAAAATGATCTTTGGGGGCTATGGGTATATAGCTCAGGGGTATAGCACATACTAAGCAAGCACAAGGCCCAGGTTCAATCCATAGCACCAAAAGGAAGGGGAAATTTTGAAATAGGATAAAACATGATAAATTTGAGCTTCTACACCTTTAAAGTAAAAGTTTACACATTTACCAAATCAGACTCTGTATTATAATCTAGAAACTGTTTACAGTTGAAAAAAAAATTTTTTTCCCTTTTTGAGACAGGGTCTCACTATGCAGTTCAGGTTGGCCTTGAGCTCACCTTGTAGCCCAGGCTGGTCTTGAACTCACAAGGATCCTCCTGCCTCAGCCTCCTGAGAGCGGGGATTAGAGGTGTGCACGACCACACCCAGCTTACAGTTGAAAATCTACCAGAAGTAAAAACAGGCTGCATTAGACCTCCTAAGGACTTAGAACTAGGTGTGGTGGTGCATGCCTGTAATCCCAACACCTGCGAGGCTCTGGCAGGACTATCGCTGTAAATTCAAAGCCAGCCTGAACTACACAGCAAGTGGGAGAAAGGGGCCAGGCGTGGTGGCGCATGCCTGTAATCCCAGCACTTGGGAGGCTGAGGCAGGAGGATCACTGCAAGTTTGAGACCAATCTGGACTACAAAGTGAGCTCAAGGATAGCCTCAACAGCAGCATAGTGAGACCCTGCCTCAAAAAGGCCAAAAACAAAACAAAATAAAAAGAGATGGAGAAAGAGAGGGAGGCAGACAGGCAAGATGGATAGATGTAGGGACAGATGACAGTTCATTTCCCTACAGAATTCAATATGGAAATGTATTCCTTTTTAATATAGATTTCCACATAGGAGAGACACTTCATAAATACCGACCAATACCATCTAATTTTAAATAAAATTAACCTCAACCCAACTCCACACTGAAGGTGAAGATAATAAATTGCTTGTTCTCCCATCTTTCTTTGTCCTCAACCTTCAAAATATGGTGTGGAAAGAAAACCCTAAGTTTAACAAAATATTAAAGACAAAAGTTTTAAACCTTAAGATTCATAACAGATACCACTTTTCTAAACAAGTTTTTTGCTTTCAAAGTCCAAAACAGACGACTATACCGGAACCACTTCCTATAAAAGCAGTAATTAAAATGATAGTTTATAGCAGGCTGTTAGTCTAAATTATAGCTTGATACAAAACACTAAATTTCTAAAGAATAAAATTATCTAGTAACTTAAAGACATTCATTTAACCTAAAATTTGCTTACCGTCACCCTGCATGTCTGAAGTCCATAGTGTCAGATTATCACGTAACAATTGCATGATAAGTGTAGAGTCCTTATAGCTTTCTTCACTCAGTGTATCCAGTTCTGCAATTGCATCATCAAAAGCTGCTTTTGCCAACCTAGAAGCAGTAAATATGTTACAAAAATGAACTAACAAGTACAAAATTAGCTATTAATCTAGTTTATGTCAGTGTATAATGGTAACAATAACCTAATGGAATAACAAATATGACAACAAATGAAAGCACTTACACCAGGTGTGAAGGCACACACACCTATGATACCAGCAGTTGGGGAGGCTGAAGCAATAAGATCATTGTGAGTTTAAGGCCACCCTTGGCTACATGAGACCTCACTTCCCACCCCAACTCTCAATCCTTGCCTTGGGGACTGAACCCAATGCCCAGCACACTGAGCCAAGTGCTCTATCACTGAGCCACACTCCCAGCTGCCCCTTCCCATTTTTCCTACTTTGAATTGCTTCCAGTTAAGGGTCCACACTGACCCTAACTTTCAACCATTCTGCCTCAGTGTCCTAAGTAGCTGGGTTTACATGCTTATACTTTCTAGAAGCCTATTATTAATGATAGTCTAAAAGAACATAAGAGATCAAATTTCACCTGAAAGCACTACTAAAATATATGCCTAACAAAGGTACTTTTCAAGTTTTAGTCAATAATTCACTTACATAATTTTTTTTGGGTGGGGGAGTCTTTTTGAGACAGTCTCATGACGTACTTCAGGCTGGCCTTGAACCTGCAGCAATCCTCCTGCCTCAACCCCAACAGCTGGGACTATAGGCATGTGCCACCACACCTAGCTTATGTAATGTTTAAAATATTAAATTTATTGGGCTAGGCATGGTGGCAAATACCTATAATCCCAGCATTTGGGATACTGAGGCAGGAAGATCACCCTGATTTCAAGGCCAGCCTGGGCTACCAAGTGATTTTAAGGCCAGTGTATCCACAGCAAGACCTTGTCTCAAAAAAAAAAACAAACACCTTAGGTTTATTGGTACATTTTAGATACGCACAATGATCACATTCATCATAGGGAATCTGTACCTGTATATGATATATCTTAATTCTTTTCTTCCCCATCCCCCTCCCTACTTACATAATGTTTTAATGCAAAAAGGAAATCTGGACCATGGTGTTTTCTCTTGTAAGTGGTGACCCACCCTCATACTATAGGGTGTACTTCTTTTCCTACTCTTACTTGGTCCAAACTCAGTCTGCAGGGACTGTTTCTTTTCCTACCTTTAGTAAAACTGCTACCACAAGAGAAAGAGAAAAGAAAGAGAAAAAGAGAAAAACTGAAGCTCAGGCAGGAGGATATCAAATTCCAACCCATGGGCCAGGGATACAGCTCAGTGGCATAAGCACCTGCCTGGCAAGCGCAAAGTCCTGAGTTTGAGTCCCAGTACCAAAAAAACAAAAACAAACTACAAATTCCAGCACAAGCCGGGAACAGAGCTCAGTGGCACAGCACCCGCCTGGCATGTGTAAAGTCCTGAGTTTGATTCCCACAGCAAAAAAAAAAAGAAAAAGAAAAAAAAAAACAATTACATGACTTTCAAAACCATCATCAAATTCCAGGCCAGCCAAACTTAGTTAAGACCCTGTCTTAAAATTTAAATAAGGATTAGATACGAAGTTCAGTATGAAAGCCTTGAGTTTAATTCAAGGGGAAAAAAAGGAAGAAAAGAGGGATGGAAACAAGATGGGGAGAGAAGGAAAATTTTGTACTTCATCATGAAGTTTAATTCAACAGAATTTAACAATGTTAATGGAGGCGAGGAAGGGGAAAAAAAGACAATACGGACTTCATGAATATGGGACTGTAGAAGCCATTTGCTACAATTTAACATTTTGGAATGAAGACTTAGGTTCATAAAATAATGAGAAGAGGGTAGGCATAGCAGTGCATACCTGTAATCCCAGCACTCCGGAGCTAAAAGGAGGATTTTAAACTGAAGGCCACCACGGGCAACTTAGCAAAACTCTCAAAAAATAAAGAGCTAGAGACACAGCTCAGTGCACAGACCTTGGGATTCAATTTTCAGTGTGAGTGTGTGTGTGCGCGCATGTGTGTGTCTTACAAGGCAAAAAGGAGTGCTATTTCTAAGAAATTATTGCAGGGACCCAAGAGGAGAAGTAACAAACAGGGAAATAAGAGAGTACACTCTAGTTTTTTAAAGATAAGGTTGCTGTGTAGTCAGCAGGCTGGACTCATACTTATGGCAATCTTCCTGCTCAGCCTCCTAAGTGCTGGATTGCATGCATGTGCCCACCATACCCAGATACATTTCTGATTTAAGGAAAGAGAATGAAAGTGACTTAACCTGGAGCTATGTGTGGGATGACTAGACTGGAGGACAACAGTGAAATATTGTATCAGTACTATTAGCTAAACAGCTAAAAGAATCTTGGTTACAATGTTTAGAAAAACTCAACTTGGCATTTAGATGTTTTTAGGTTAATCAACATTGCACTGAAGTGAATCCACCTTACATCAAGAAAATCACTCCACATGGAATGTCTACCTCCTACATAATCAAGAATATAGAAGGGCCAAGGATGAAAGGAGTATATGGCTCAGTGGTAGAGCACTCTGTCTAGTCTGTACGAGGTCATGGGTTCAATTGCCAGCACTGCCTAATAAATCAATACACAAAATATCCAACAATATATACTTGAAAATACTTTACAACTGGGGTTTGAAAAGTATTTCAGCTATTCCTGAAATATATCTGAAGAACATTACTCAACCAAGGCAGGTATGGTAGCGCATGCCTGTCATCTCAGCATTCAGGAGGCTGAGGCAGGAGGATCGTTGCAAGTTCGAGGCCAGCCTGGGCTACAAAGTGAGCTCAAGGCCAGCCTGAACTGCATAGCGAGACCCTGTCTCAAAAAGATCCCATGCAAAAAGTTTACTCAAGGAAATAAGCTATCAACACAACAGAAAGCCCAGAAATAAACACTCACACAGATACATCGGCTGGTTTTCTAAAAAGGTGCCAAAACCATTCAATGGCAAAAGAAGATCTTTAACAAATGTTGGGGAAACTGGGTATTTGCATCATTACATGAAGATGGACCCTCACATCAGTACAAAATAAATTCAAAGTGCAGAGCAGCCCTGCCTGTGGACACATACACATACACATAGAAAAGACCACATCAGGTATGTGGCCTGTATAAAACCTGTAACCTCAGTTACTGGGGAAGCTGAAATAGGATTCTAAATTTGAGGCCAGAAACGAAAGGGGGAAGTGATATAGCAGAGTGAGGTAAAGTGTTTGCCCAGCATGGACAAAGCCCTAAATTCAATCCTCAGTAGTGCCCCCCAAAGAACGAAACAATTATGGTCAAAGATCTAAAAAAGAATTTAAGGGCTAAACTATGAGATGCTTACAAAAAACCAGAAGGGGAAAAAAAAGGTTCCTACCACTGCATTTGGCAATGACTTCTCACATGCCAGTCAAAGCACAGGAAATAAAAGGAAAATAAAATAGATAAACCAGGGGTGATGATGCATGCCTATAATTCCAGCACTCAGGAGGCTGAGGTACGAGGATCCCCGAGAGTTCAAGGCCAGCCTGAACTCCACAGCAAAACCCTGTCTCAAAAAACAAATTAGGGGCTGGGGATTTAGCTCAGCGGCAAAGCGCCTGCCTGGCAAGCGCAAGGTCTTGAGTTCGGTTCCCGGTACCGGAGAAAAACCAAAAAATCAAAAAAAAAACAAAAAACAAATTAAAAAAAAAAGATAAACTGAACATACAGTACTTAAAACTGTTTTGCATCATGACAGTATCAAGAAAGTAAAATGACAACCCCTGGGTTAGGAAAAACCATTTAGCCAATAAGATTAATATTCAGAATACACAAAGAACATAAAAAACAATAAACGGACAAAGTGCTTAAATAGACATTTCTTCAAAAAGCGTATGAAAAAAAACATGCAAATAACCAGTGAGCAAATGAAAATATGCTCAATCTTACTGATTAGGAAAATGCAAATCAAAACCATAATAAGGTAACACATTGTGGTTGGGTTGAGAAAACAGAACTCACATGTATTGCTGATGGGAATGTAAAAATGGTACAGTGTCTGTAGAAAACTGTACTTTGTGGAATATGCTTCTAATTCCAACACTCTGAGACGGACATGGTGGCACACACCTGTAATTCCAGCACTCGCGAGGATGAGGCAGGAGGATCGTTGTGAGTTCGAGACCAGCCTGGGCTACAAAGTGAGTTCAAGGCCAGGCTGACCTGCACAGCGAGACCCTGTCTCCCCCCCCCCCCCAAAAAATCCAACACTCTGGTCTGGGAGGCTGAGGCAGGAGCATAGCAAGTTTAAGCCCAGCCTGGTTCAAGCCTCGGTAAGGGGGGATGGGCGATTTAAAATTTTTAAGTCCAACACAGAATTACCACAACCCAGCAAGTCTCCTAGCTAAGGATGAAAACTAGGATTCAATTGTGTGTGCCAATAATAGTGCCAATAATTGGTGCCACTTATAGCACCAATAAACAGGAAGGCAAACAGTAGAAAACACACATCTTATTCTTTAAAAAGATGAACTGCCAGTGGCAGAGCTCAGCGGGACAGCATCTGCCTGGCAAATGCAAGGCCCTGGGTTTGATTTCTGGCACCAAAAAAAAACAAAACAAATACAGAAATCAGTCTAGAACTTAGTCCTTGGTGTGTACAAATGCTCACTGTGCTGCTAGTACCAAAAAAATGAATACACAAAACATGATAAATACATAGAATAAATAATACTTATGATGAAAAGGTTCTGAAACAAACAGAACCAGTGGTAAAGGTTATACAACACTGTGAATAAGTACTTAATGTCACTGAATAGTACTGTTTTGTTTTGTTTTGTTTTGTTTTAGACAGAGTCTCACTATGTAGTGCAAGCTGGCCTTGGAACTCATGACAATCCTCCTGCCTCAGCCTGAGTGCTCAGATTAAATGTGTGCACCACCACATTCAGGAGTACTATACTCTTAAAAATGGTTACAGTAAAACCAGGTGCTGGGGCAAGGGATATAGTTCAGCAGCACAGCACCTGCCAAGCAAGTACAAGGTCCTAAGTTTGATTCCCAGTACCAAAAAAAAACCGAAACAAAATAAACCAGGTGCTGTACAGCATACTTGCAATCCCATATTAGGAGACTAGGACACAAGGATCCACAGTTCAAGTCATGCCTGAGCAACTCCGACCATTTCAAAATAAAAAATGAAAAAAGGGATGGGGATATAACTCACTGAAAAGGCCCCATTTAAGAAAGAAGGACTATAGGGGCTGGGGATTTAGCTCAGCGGCAAAGTGCCTGCCTGGCAAGCACAAGGTCGTGAGTTCGGTTCCTGGTACCGGAGAAAAACCAAAAAAA